GGAAAGAGTAGATAGATTACACTAAATTCAACATTATTGGAATGATATGAACCGTCAGAAAAGGCGATGAATACCTATAAATTCCATCACCAGAACATGAAGTCTCAAAAGTAATGGAGTTGGACACTGTATCCCGGCTGCCTTTAGCCTGCAATTCATAACATCCATATTCCACATTGAATCATATTATTAGTAAGTGAATATGCTCATGGTGTCAAATTCACTATCTGAACAATTTTGATAAATCATGCAAAGAGGCTGTCCTTGTTTTTCTTTTTACAAGTAATATGAACATAAAACACAGACAACAGTTTAGTAAAGGAACAGAAAAGAGATTCTAATAAGTGGGAAAAAACTATTATGGAGTTTAAAAGCCAACAATTTCCCTTAATTTTGTAAATTTCAGCAGTATTTTTAAAGCACTAGAACCGTTCTACCGTTCATTTTAGTATCCAGTCCTATAAGAAAGAAACAGTAATAGTAAAGATTTCTTACATAAAGACATGAACACATCTCAATATACATCTGTTAAAATAAAAGAAGAAAAGAAAAAATAACAGATTGTTTTTACTCATAACTGAAAATAGTGATCGTACCTCAAAAGATTCCTCATCTCTTTCTCAGCCCAAGTTTTCACCATTTTCCTGGGGTTGTGCCTGCAGTATCCATGTCTGAATCGATAGTCACCTTGTACATATCGATCTCTATCCCTGAATTGTATTAGAGAAAAGAGAAAAACAATAGTAAATACCTTTGTAGGCTGCTAGAAATAATAATGTCCGAGCAAAGAATCTAGGAAACATATTGCTTTTGTTTAGAAAAGTGAACTGATATTGTTGCTAGCAACCTAAACAACTGATTGATACATCGGAGACATAAAAACAAGCTTGACATAAAGAGTCTAGCAGGAAGAAGCCAAATCCATGGCCGATGAAGGAAAATCGCCAAAACACAAAAAAGGGGACAAAAAGGGGACTGCAATTCTATATTCAATGTTCCAAAAACTAAACTATTACAAATGAGTCTCTTAGCTTATATAGCTATTCCAAACGACACTAAACTTAAGATATAAAAATGACATCAAACGTACATAAAGAAACGGCAAAAGATGTGACTACATCACAAAACTTCCTGCATCAGTTCTCCTCTGCCAGAGAGAAAAGGACTCATCCTCAAGTCTGCTTCAAAAGAGATTAGCTAGACTAGTTTTCAGCAACACTCCATCAAAACGCTGACTATCACTTTTCTTAACGTGGTTCTGGTAGACGCCAACAGAAAATTATCTTTGTACCTCTTCCCTGCTCCAATCTTGCAGCAAAACAATTGCAACAGTTGGACATATGGAATTGTTGGGAATTAGATTGATTCAAATGTCTCCGTTGATTGCTATTTTATGTCAGTAACTATTGAAAAGGAGCTTTGAACATGAATATATCAAGAAGGTAATATGACCCCATGTAGAAGCCAACTGTGAAACCCCTTTTCAAAGCATCCAAACAGACTTTAGAAATCCAAAAAGGAATTAAAACAAATTCCCACTTTAATGTAAATTTCTTGCATAGCATGTTTCCTACCGCGGCGAGTATAGACTTGAAATTGTCCTCAACAAAAGAACAAGACACAACCACCTTTTGCAAGTATTGTGTTTCACTATGTTCACCATCTAAAGTGAACTCAGATTCAAAGTGGTTCTTCAGTAGTGAAAGGCATACCATCACCTCAAGCACACATTCTAACATCTTGAGTCCTCTGTCTATAGCAAGTAGAGCTCCTTGAATGTACAGGGAATTGCTGCCAAGCTGCTAAGGTTCTTTAAGGAGCATATACTCTCTGTTTACTCTTTCTATAGAATTGCAAATTGGATAAGTTGTTTTATCGAACACCAAGACACAACCAAACAGATTCATGGCAAGGATTCTTTCACCAGTATGGCCATTTGTTAGGATCCATTAACTTGGGAACTTGTTTGGTTAGTGGGCAGGTAGAGTTAGTAGGAATTAGTATAAATAAAGGGCTTAGTAGCTCACTAGGGGTAGGCTGTGATTTTGAGAGTTTTGGGAGATGAGATTAGGGAGAGCTGATGGTCTCTCGAATACCATCAAAGTTAGGAGTTCTCCAGAGTCCTCGAATACTCTAGTCTATCCTAAGCTTTCTTTACGTTTTTCTTAGTTTGGTTGTAAAATCCTATGAGCTAGTGTTGGTGATGATCAATAAAACTACTCAGATTGCCTTCTATTCTTGTTCTTCTGTGTGAATATTGAGCTGTGAGAATCAGGTTCCTAACAATTTGGTATCAGAGCCCCGATCCATGGCACCTAAACCAGCGGATCCGGAGAGGGTGACTACGGTGGAAAAGGGGTTGGCGGTGGTCCAGGAGGCGGTCCACTCGGTGGTGACCGAGAATCTTCCGAGATCCGTGAAGAAGTGGCTGGGTTGCGTGGTGAACTGGGGGAGGTTCGGACTCAGATGGAGGCACTGTTGGCAGTGCAGCCGATGGCCGGAGTGGCCGATTTAGGTCGTGACGGTGAGCGACGGGATGGTGAGAGGCGAGATCGCACGCCTCGGGGCAAGGAGAGCCCAAATCGCGATGACCCAGGCAAAGTGGAGGTGTCGAATCGGGCGAATCTTCGCCGGGAAGCGCCGATTCGCGAAGATCGAGGCCACGAGAGGGAGTTCCGGCGCCGGAGAGACGTGGCTCTCATGGAGGAGCGCGAGTTCCGTCGCAATCTGGGGCTGGGTGGTCCGGATCTGCAGCGCGATGGTTTGTTCGACGACGGGAGGAGGGCGGAAGGAGGTCCCGACCGTCGGGAGAGGGCGGCGGAGCTTGGTCAGCGACGGGAACCGGAGTGGGAGCCGGAGTTAGAGGAGGAGCGGCTTGCTCCGGGGCTGGGACGGCATGGGTACCCTCAGAACAGGGAACCCAGCCCTGATTTGGATGTGTTTGGGGCTGATCCTTGGGTTTTTCGATTTGATATGGGCAAGGTGAATAGAGTTTCGCCATCTTATTGGTTAGGAGATCCTAGGGTTTTGAACATGAGAAGGGGAAGGTGGCGTGACACACTGTGGGAGAACCGATCGGATCGGCGTTTTCAGCGAATGGAGATGCCGCTGTTCACCGGAGAAAATGCTGACGAGTGGGCCTTTCGAGCTGAACGTTATTTTATGTTGTATAGGTTGACAGAAAGAGAGAAAATATGGGCTGCGGAAGAGGCCATGGAGGGTGATGCTTTGGTTTGGAATCAATGGCAGGATGGTTGTCGGCTGTTCTGCAGTTGGGATGAATTGAAAGCTCATTTACTATAGCGTTTCCAATCATCGCAAGAAGAGACCATCTATGGGAGTTTCATGGCGAAAGAGCGAACGGATACCAAGGCTGATTCCGGACGAGAAATCGAGGTACTTGCTGCGCCTTGGAAAGAGATATCAAATGCAGTTTTTGAGAGAGATATCACTACCAAGTTGAAAGTCAATAATGAGCATGAAATAGGAATTTCAAGTGGGCTGCTTCTGATTCACACTAAAGTTGTTTCAGATCAGCAAATTGATGCTCAAAGAGAGTTTCCTTCAAAGAATCTCATCGGGAAGGTGGACCAAGGCATTGCAAATGAAGATGACTTTCAAACCAATGCCAAGAATGAGGGGCTTCAAGGTGTGTGGAACAAGATCTCAATGACATCAAACTTTTCTAAGGATATTGCCATAGAGAATGTGTTTGATGCACCAGTGAAAGAAGTTAAAGAAGGTGGAGGCCATTCTAGTATTTTAAAAGGTCTTATTGGTTCAGTTTTTAGCAATTGTGGGGGTGTTGACAAAGGAATGGAGAAAGTACACTTGCATCTTCCCTCCATTGTTGGTGTTTTGAAGAATAGTGAGGCAAAATTCTTGGATATGGTGGAGTATTAACTGCAGCAAGATAAAGCTGGTAAGAGGAGGGTGACTAACATACATGATTTGATTAGGATAACCAGAAAGCTCTTGCATTCTTATGTGGATAAGTTTTTGGATGAACTTCTTGGATTAGTTGATTTCACTGTGGTTCACAATTCAGGTTACAAACATAAGTGTGAACTTGGCAAAACATGGAAATTATCAAGAAGATTTGAAGCAAGTTCTGTTTGTTTCATAGAGCTCACAAAGATCTTTCTTCTTTCTCATGTTGATGTACTATTGCAGTTTATTTTCTGGTTTTCACCTTGAGGACAAGGTGATTCTTTAGGGCGGAGGTAATGTTAGGATCCGTTAACCTAAGAACTTGTTTGGTTAGTGGGCCGGTAGAAAAAGTAGGAATTAATATAAATAAAGGGCTTAGTAGCTCACTAGGGGTAGGCTGTGATTGTAAGAGTTTTGAAAGACTGAGATTAGGGAGAGCTGGTGGTCTCTCGAATACCATCAAAGTTAGGAGTTCTCCGGAGTCCTCGAATACTCCAGTCTATCCTAAGCTTTCTTTACGTTTTTCTTTGTTTGGTTGTAAAATTCTATGAGCTAGTGTTGGTGATGATCAATAAAACTACTCTGATTGCCTTCTATTCTTGTTCTTTTGTGTGAATATTGAGCTGTGAGAATCAGGTTCCTAACACCATTGTTGTGACCAATATTTGATTTCAACATAGCATCTACCCAAGCAACTTTCCAAATGTCATTTTCCACAATAAGAACACTATCAACAAGATTAAAACAATTGAGAGTATTCAGTGCTTGACTTCTTTTTGTTTCTTTCTTTTCTTCCACAAAAATAGCGTGTCAAGAAAAGAGCCAAAATAAGTTATGAGATTCACCTGAGTTCTCCCTACTACACCAAAGGATGTTTTCACCTCTTTTATAGGTTCTAAAACAGCCAAGCTTCTCTCAAGAAATTGAATTAAAAGTGAATCTCTGGACACTTGACAAAGAAAGAAATCTAGCGCCAAGTCTTTACGGACCAACACCGTTTCCTCCACTGCCACTTCCTTTTCTTTCTCGTGAGCCACTACACTAATGTGTTCAAAACAATTTTCATAAACCTTCCCTTTGGCTAGTTTGACCTCTATGTTATTAAGTTAGCTTCCATTAGCCTTGAAGTAACCTCCTCTTTACCAAACAAAATGATTGAAATATTAGGGCTACGTACTTCATGCTCCACGGGCTTTTCAATTACAACTTCAATTCCTATACCTGCATTAGCCGAAGCATCACACACCTTTTGATGTTGTTTACTACTTTGTTTGGCTATAATTCCTTGTTTTTCTGCTTCAAACTCTCTTAGAAAGAGTGTGTTCTATAATATCTTCCTTCATAGCACAAGTAGTGGCCTCCAGCTTGTTATTGTAACATCTCTGAGATTGAAGATCATTACCAAAATCAAATTGCAGAAACTGATCTTTTATCTTTTTTTTCATTCTCTTCCAAGATAAGATCACAAGCTTTCCTTGGCATATCCGATCCCTTTGAAGCAAATCCCACCACGAGGAAGCAATAACCTTCAAACTTATAGCAACTAGTTTTGCTTGTTTTTCTAAAGGGACATACACTCGGTTAAAGAATTCTTCCACAACTTGAATCCATAAAAACAATGGAATACCCAAATCAGCATCATAATCATCATAATCGCTAATTCTCTTAAACGAATACCTTGAATTTCTGTAGCGTTCTCCATCGTAAGTTGAACCTCTAAAATCTCCACTCGAATCTACTCGGCCATAATGCCAAAGGTCTATCCGTCTGCAACACATCTCCCGTTGTGTTCCCTCATTTACCTAACACGGAAGGTCGCACATCTCCCGCTATCCTCCCTTGACGTTGTTGCGCCTTGGGGTGGCTGGGCAATGGATCCAGAGGCACATCTCTGGCGTCCAGCTGCTGCCAAGGTTTGGGTCGAACACGTCCCTCGGCAAAATCGACGAAGGAGTGGCTCAATTTCTCAATCCTCACATCACGTTGAACCCGTAGATCTCCAACTATTTCAGGTCGATGGCGGGCGACAACCGTCTCTCGATCCCGTCAAAGTTCTCGATCCGCCTAGAGGGCCTTCACATTGCGCTCATCGTTGATGGTATGGCAACTAACTCCGCCAGCTCTGGCCATCACACCCACGATAACGATCCATCGCTCTGATGCCACTTGACGTAGAGAGTCTAACAGGAAGAAGCCAAATCCACGGCAAAGGCAAAATCCATGGCCGATGAAGGCAAATAGCCAAAACACAAAAAAAGGGACAAAAAAGGAGACTGCAATTCTATATTCAATGTTCCAAAAACTAAACTATTCCAAATGAGTCTCTTACCTTATATAGCTATTCCAAACGACACTAAACTTAAGATATAAAAACGACATCAAACGTATCATAAAGAAACGACAAAAGTTACGACTACATCACAAAACTTCCTGCATCAAAGCTATAAATCAATTAGTCATTTAAGCAACTTTCTTTTTGTTCTTTTCTTATTATTATTTTGGTTACTACTCGTAGTGGCTTCATAAATTAACAAACTTACTTAAATACCAAAACAGAAGTTTTGTATACTTTAATTGCCAGTTCCTGGCCATCAGATTTTGTTGCATGATAAACATTTGCCTGCAGAAATAGATAGAGAGAAGGGTTTCAGAAAGGAACAGAAATGAATTCCAATGTAATTATATTTATTATGAGACATTATAAGAACAAAGAATAATAAAAAATAACAAAAACAAAGATAGTGAAATCTTACTTCTTTACCAGTTGAAATGCACCCATTAATATCATGAAATACACCACGATTCAACATCTTGAACAAAACCATCCGAGTTCTAGGATCAATTGCCTGTAAACAAACATACTTGGTCATATTCTCTATTGAAACTTGAAAGAATTCCTACAAATCCAAATCCTAAGAAAAACTTCAGCCAAAAACCAACGTCAGATGCACAAATGAAACTAAAACACCGCACTTAATTCAATAAGCTCAAGTCTAGTGCCAATTTGGAAAAGGTAAAAAAACCTAAAAAGATGAACCTTTAATGGAACAAACTTCAAAACAAAATTTGCAATTCTTATCAACAAAAACTAAACGAACCCACAAGATAAAACAATGGGATTTGCAAGATCGATCCTATACTGTAAAATATAGAAATGGGCATCAATTCGAAACACAAAAGGTTTTATGAGATTAAAAAAGGTTCGTTAAGCATTATAACAAAACAATGACTTTAGAAAAGTGTAATTTGTTCTTATCTTTTACAAAGTCACTATCATACAAAAAAAAAAAAATGTTCCTTGACACTATATCATGTTATACCACCCGAAAGCAAACAAACCCCAATGAAAATTTGTTGGAAAGGGGGGGGAAAAAAATCGAAACTTCAAACTAGACTAATTCTTACTCACCTGCTCAACAGTCGCCCGGTCAGCTTTCTCGGTGGTTTTCGTTTTGCCTATCGCCATGTCCCGAACACTCTCGCGAATCGCCGTCGTGACCGAGTTCGACATGCCCACGTTCAACCTCCCTTCCCACTCCTACACTCCAAAACAAAATTCAAAACTTTCATCAACTTCCTCAAACGAAATCAATCGGCTTAAGACAATTTTCCCTTCGAATGGGGCAAAACGAATGCCTATAATCACACTAAATCCTACCTCGAGAGGCGAAGCGCGGATATTTTTGGAGAACTTCTGGTTCTTATTCGAGAGAGGCTGAAGAGTTGAGGAGTTATGGCGAGAGTGAATCCCTCCATGAGCGTTGGGACGCCTCGAGTTGAGCGTGAAACCGGATTCGAATCCATAGTCGTCGTCCTTCGAGTCCAACAAGTCCAGTGCGTCTCCGATTTCCGAGTCCGACGACGACGAAACATCTTCTTCCTCTTCTACTTCTTCTTCTTCCACACCTCCCCCGCCGCCATTAACGGCTGCTTTTAGCTCGGAAAGGTCGAATTTTTCTTCTGCCACGGCCATCTTTGCAATCGAAACTTCGCGATTGTGCTGAGAAAATTCTGGGGATGAATGATAAATATTAGCAGTAATGAAGAGGAGATCGCCGGTAGCCGGTTAGGGAGCTGACAGAGGGGCGAGTTTGAGTTGGAAGGCGGCGTTGGCGGTGAAGAAGGGAAGGTTTTTCTAGCGGAGTGGGAAAACTATGTCGCTAGTTAATTGTTTGTTTTGTTAAAGCTTATTATTTTCTTTATTTTTACATTTTTTTAGTTTTTTTTTTAAATTTTTTATGAATCCATTTAAGGATATTTTGGACATTTTGTAAGGTAAAAATGAATTTACATATATTCTGAAGGTTCAAAGTTGATGTGATCGAAAATGAAAGTTAAATGATAAAAATGTAAATAATAAATTGAAAATTTTATATTTTTATAGCTCGTTTGGAAGGTATATGTTAAGTCCGTTTTTCGGTCAGTGTCACAAAGAGTATTGCAACACTAGTTGAAATACTAAGGATATGTGAAGTGTTTCGGATTAAGTAACCAATATATAATTGTACAGAGAAGTAATGCAGAAACTAATAGTGCAGAACCGAAAGATACACAAGGAATTGATATCACAGTTCGGTGTGCACACCTACATCTGCAGGGTCACGCTCAGACAGTGAACAATCCACTAAGATCAAAGGATTACAAACACCAATCAGATTTATACACCTAAAGACTTCCTCCTTGATGTTGTTACCGCTGTGTAGAATCTTCTTATAGGCATTGTCCAGCGAACACCACTCATCTTTGAAGGCTTTATCCCAAAAGCAACACGTCATCCTCTCAAAGAACCTCCTTTTTCTATTTTCTCTTAAAGAACATCAAAACAGCTTTTTCTGCAAAATATTTTCACACTCAAAGCTCACTCCCACAAACTTTTTTTGAAAAATATATCTCTAAAACCCATATCCCAAAATATAGTCTTGAATTGCTTTTAAAACCATAAAACACAAAAGCTCAACTTTTCTCTTCCAAGTCAAACACCCCCATAACTAAAGCATAGTCTACTCTCACACTTGTTCTCCACGTTTATCCACCCACCTATCTATCACCTATATATATATATATATATATATATATTCTTTATACATTTTTCTCCTTTTCCAATAATAAAACCACTCATCAAGCAATCAATCTATTTTTCTTTCCTCAAATAGATCATATCCCAAATCTGCAGGAATCTCCATGATTATACGAAATCTCTCAAATCTTTCATTGACCAAGTATGCTTTTCTCCTTCAAAACATTTCATATTCAGAGCAATTAGCATATTAAAATCACCACAAAATCTGAATCTACATCAATCATGAACTTAACCTTATTTTTGAATTTTGTACAACCCAATTGCAAAACATGCCAACTAATAAAGTCATAACAATCTCCCCATTTGACATTTTTTGATAAAACTAACACAAGTTCCTATTTTCACTAAAAATTCAAAAAGTAGACAAATAATAAAAGTACAATGTTCTTCCCATTTTTAACAAAAATAAGCCAAAGTAAAAATAATAAAAAATTCTTCTAGAAACTGTTGTTGCAGAAAATGTTGCAACACTTGAAGGAACGCTCGGTGCAACACTTTCCTGTAGATCATCTTTCAAGGTTATTGATCTCTGAAGCTCACTCCCTCTGAATCCTCTACAAGTCTTACTCCCCTTGAATATAATATTCTCCAATGCCTATTGCTTTTATCACCTATCAAAAGTTTAGAGTGACCATTACCATAATACCCAGAGTTAGTAGTACATGCTTTAAAAGAATTATAAGTCTCATGACACTTTAAATCAGATTTCCTTACCCACACACGTTTAGGAAATTTGTTTTGCACATCAACCTTCATTTTAGGTGTCCTTCTTGCGGAATTTGGTGAATTAGGAAGCATACCTCTCTTCAAAGAATTCAAATACTTGTAGCATCTTGCTCTTATATGGCCAGCTAAACCGCAATAATGACATATGAGAACAAATCTTTTACGTCGAAGGGGTAAGATAATAACCTTCTTACTGAGGGTAGTCTAAGGTTCAGGAGCGGGTGTCTCCTTCACAAGCATTGTCTTGGACCTTGAGCTTTCACTAGTGTATCCAAGGCCTTGACAATCACCACTTGATCTTCCCAATGAAAGAATGTGTTCCAGTTTATTTGTACCAGAATTCATCATTTTCAAATTTTTCTGAGTACTCTCCAGTTCAGCCTTTGTTTCCTTCAACTTCTTTTCTCTCTCTGCAGCAAGGAATTCATAATTATCAACAACTCTCTTCAACACATCATTCTCTTTGACAAGCTCATTGATGTGCTCCCGTAGAGACTTATTTATTTCACACATTTTAACTCATTTGCTAAACATAGTCTTATAAGCTTCATGTATGGCATCAACAGTCAATTTCTCACCATCATTGTTACTTTCAGAAATCTGAAAAATCTCCTTCATTTTCGCTGTTCATGGATTTCGTTTCAGCATTTGTTGTAACACTGTCTGCGACACTTTTTGTAACACTGTCTGCAGAAACACCTTGATCAGTATAAACATTGAAAGCAACATAGTTACTCACATGGTCTTCATCCTCCTGACTGCCTTCAGAGTCTTCATCACTCCACGTCGCATTCAGAGACTTCTTCTTCTTCTTTAGAGTGTTGGCACACTTGAATTGAATGTGGTCGTAACCGTCGCATTCCCGGCATTGAATACCCCTATTTTTTGTCTTAATCTCTATGCTATTTGCTGCAGCTTTATTCTTTTGGAAATGGTTTGAGTTTTCAAAGTTTGGTGTATGGTTCTTCTTGTTGAACTTCTTCATCACCTTGTTGAAATTCTTCGATAATCGTGCTATGGACTCGGTTAAGTCTTTTTCATCATTGGACTCAACTTCGGCTTGAAAATTATTGTTTTTTTTTCCTTCTCCTTCTTGTTTCAGGTTCATCTCGAAAGTACGGAAAAAGCCCATTAATTCATCAAGCTTCATTGACCACGCGTCTTTGGCCTCTTCAATAGTTGTTACCTTGTAAGCAAACCTTCAAGAGAGTGATCTTAATGCCTTCCTCACCAGTTTTTCCTCAGAAATTTTCTCACCAAGTTTAAAAGCCTCATTAGCAATATCACATAACTTTAAATTAAAATCTGAAATTATTTCATCTTCAAGCATGCATAAGTTTTCAAACCTGGTAGTGAGAATTTGAAGCTTTGATAGTCTCACAGTTGCCGTGCCCTCATGCGCCGCTGTAGAATTTCTCAAGCCTCCTGATTAACGTCCAAAAGTGATGTTCACAAGTGGTCAATTGTAGCACAAACGGGCGGTCGTATCCACGGAGAGATAACAAAATAACAAGAAAGATTAACAGAATAAGAGCGTTAGAGAAAAATAAATAACAAGTGAATTAAAGAAAAAAAAGAGTTTTTGAGATTTTTGTTGCAAATAAAAAGGAGAGAAGATTTGTGTGAAAGAAATTCAATAGTAAAAACAGTAAGGTGTCGAGAATCCCTAATGTTTCATTCACCAATTCAAGTTTTGATTCACAAAATAAAAGAACTAAATAAATTAAATCTCTATGTCGACTCCGAAAATATTATTATTACAAGTTATCCAAAATTGACAATATATCAATTTGACAATATTGCAGTAAAAGACAATTTGCAAAATGATTTGAATAACAAAACAATGCGTGACATAATTACATAAGAAAAGCGTGACTGAACTTATATAAAAATTGGCACACAATATTTTGAAAAATAAATGAAAGACATATGAGATTTAATTCATTCAGATATTGAACTTTACAGCACATGGAATCAAAAGCCCAAATTGGGTCACTCAATAAAAGTTCATCTCTAACCTCACCAATAGAACTCTAGCCTAGCTTGCAAAACATTCTCACAAGTTCTAGAGAGCAAATATGAGACTGACAGCAAGACGACAGAAAACTGAATAATAAAAGCTTCCTAAAATCTTAGGCTAACCCCTCTATTTATAGTGTTTCGAGGTTACTTGTCAAATAAGGAAATAAATAATAAAAATAGAAAATTACAAAAGAAAAGGAAACCAAATAAAATTACACATAAATTAGGAGAAATCATTGATTTGATTTGGGGAAGAAATCCGGTAATTTGCTTTGATTTTTGGGGAAGAAATTCGGATTCAGCAACCTAGAGGACACGTGTCGAAGTACGGTTGGAGGAAAGGAATAGAACGCCACGTGTCGCGCGCGGAGTGGAAGAAACGGGCAGGCACTGGTCAGAGCAAGGGACAGCTATCGCGCGCGGAGAAAGGCTGGGGCTAGCACGCTGTCGGGCGGGACCGACGCTTCTGAGGAGTTTGACGCGCCAGAGATAGCGCGTGCATGGGACGCGCTCTAGTGGCTAGGCAGTGCGGGTGACGCGCACGAGGAAAGGTGAGAGCTGGTGGGGCCCACGGTGCTGATGCAACTTAGCCGGCTCAGCTGGCTCGGTGCGGCTCTCCCTCTCTCTGATCGGCTTGTGTAGCTCGGCTGAAAAGCTTGGCTCAGATTGGTTGAAAATATGATTTTCATGGCTTCTTCTTATGTAGCTTTTTACACTACTTTTATCTGTAAATAATTAAGTAAAAACTAGACAAATTCCAATTAAAAATATTATGAATAAAAATAATGGAATTGTTTAATTAAAGCTTAACTATTTAATATTATATAAATCAAAATCAGTATTTAGGGTGCATTTTCATGCACTAATCACCTCCTTGGCCGGCTCACATGTAGAAATGAGTTTGAATTGATTGGCATCCACCCCGTTGAAGATGGCATTAAGTGCTCTTGAATTGCTATTCTCCAATCGATCTTCTTTAGTAGACCATTTCTCTTCGGGTTTCATAACTTCTTCTCCAGCCTTATTTTTAGTAACAGGGTGCGTCCAACCAATCAACACGGCACGCCACACTTTCTCATCAATTGCTTTGATGAATGCCTTCATATGAGCTTTCCAATAAGAATAATTGCAACCATCAAAGAGAGGATGGCGTGAAACCGAACCACCTTATTTTAGAAAATCCATCCCTGTTACAACAGACCAACTCTCAAAATCTCATCAAGCAAACGGTTAGTGAACCTCTCTGATACCAATTGTTAGGTTCATTTTTCAGTCGGTGTCACAAAAAGTGTTGCAACACTAGTTGAAACGCTGAGGATATGTTAAG